TAAAATCCTTTGGAAAACAAGCATCAAGAGGAAATGTTTGGTATTAGTTTATAGGAACAAGTAGTCCTTTGGTTTCTTTGCACTAACTGTGTTCCAAATTAAGGATGGCGCCTTGTTTTCCTAGTTTTCATTGCCATTAGGGGAATGCATAATTCATTATAGAGATGCATACAGATTGGGATGCTAGTGTTTGTGATCAGCTTTTCTAAACAGGCAGGGAATGTCCACTTTCTGTAAGTTGCTGCCAGAACCAAATATATATCTGGATACCCCCTGTACTGCTCTGTATAATCATGAGACAGTGCTTGAAATTTTGATGACAGCCACCTTGACTTTGAAGAGGCTTACATGAAAAGAATTATTTTCTGTGGTAATTAGGGACATGTAGAAAGGATTTCTGAATTGAAATCATGCTTAGATGAGAAGGAACCTATCTGAGCTGTTTACAAAGCCTTACAGTTTTCTTTAAAAAAAAAAGATGAAGAGGAAGAAGAAGAGCCAAGGCTCATTTAAAAAAAAGAGCTATCAAAGTATTTTGACAAATTTCTCATTTTAACATATTAAAAATATTTTAGCTGAGATTGTTCATGTCTTGGTATAATATAGTATAGTATTTTCCCTGAGATGTAATGTTGTCACTTGTCTGAGGATAGAATGATATATTTAGTTTATTGTACTCCATTTTGAGCTAATCAAACCAATCATAGAAATCTTTATTTTAACAAGAAAGATAAAACAAAAATGTCTCAAGGAAATAATAATTTCTCATGCATCACATTGACCTACAAGCTGAAGGTGTGATATATGGACCAGAAATACTAGAGACATCAAATAAATACTAGGTAAATACTGGTTGTTTTAAATTATATCTATATCTTTATCTACATCATTCTAGCTATCTATCTATACTATCAGCAAAAGTGGTGAGAAATTAAAAATGACTAGAAATTTATTAGTACCTTATTAGTATTATCATTTACCTGTATTCATTATAATGGTGGAGTCACCATTAGATAGTTGAGGCATAAATAGGAAGTTAATCTACAGCCAATAAAAATGTATTGAGTAAATAGCTAATAAGAATTTGTCCTATTTGTGAAAATAATAACTAACATTTATATATATAAGTTTTGTGAAGTGTTTTTTTCAATTTTTAACATTTTTATTTAAAGTTTTGAGTTCTAAATTCTATCCCTCCCTCTCTCTTTCCCTCCCATTCCTACTTCCTGAGACTATAAATAATCAGATATTGTGAAGTGCTTTTTAAACATCATCTCATTTTATCCTTACAATAATTCTCAAAGGTAGGTATTATCATCATCATCATCATCATCATCATCCTGATTTTAAAGATATATAATAAAGTTACGCTGTAAATTTCTTTTTTTTTTCCTTTTTTTTTTTACCTTCCCTTATCCTTCCACCCCCCATCTTAGAGATGGCTACCATTAGGCTCAAAGTATGTATGTGTATATGTGTGTGTGTGTGTGT